CCCCAAAACCCCAAAACCCCAAAACCCCAAAACCCCGTAATGACAATTTAGGTAGAATTTGAATGGATAATGAAAAATTGTCGCATATAAATTCAGCAGAGATATTTATATACATAATTATTAAACTTAAAACACAAATCACTCCTATCAATGAATCACGTATATAACAACGAATAAATCCAGCAACTTGTCTATTTGAACTAAATTGAAAGAAGTATGATCAATCAAAACAATAACACTCATTAAAATCAACCCCACGGATAGACTTTTAGTAGTCCTAATTGTTTTAGCAAAAATTTGATTTCATCAAACTTACTCAGTCCAATTGACCATACTTAAAACAATATGTAAAACTAAAAAGTCGTAAACTAAGGTCAATCCAGTGAAGCACTTCCTAATAATCAGTTTCTATTCAACCACTGCATTTAGGAAAATGATTTAATCATTGAACGCAAAGTTCAACTGAATTTCACAAACAGTAATAGTCTAAACAGAAAACAACGAGGGGAAGTGTCTAATCAGGAGCTAGAGTCTATGGGACAGTTGATGAAAGTAAAATTGCTTAAATAAGTTTACACATAAGCCAACAACACACTAGAACACTCTAATTCAAAAATCTAATTCCAAATGCCTTCAATGGCTTCTGTATTTGGTGGATTCATGACCTCCGCCCCTATCCACGAAATCTCGACATGCGGCTCTAGAACACATGAAGAATAGTCGTATGACATGGGAGAGATTCCCTAAGAGAGTCTCAGCGAATTGCTTGCTCCGGAAGTAGAAAAAGGCTTTTCAGTATCAGTACAGAAAAAGAGACGAAGACTAGTTGAGGTTCTATAGACCAAGAGAACCTTAGAGATTGTTATCAAGCCTCATAAAAAAGCATTCAAAGGTGACAACGTCTAGAATTTCAGAGGCAGTAAATTTAGAGGGATTTCAAAAAATGGAAACTCATGGCAGATCTTAGTCATGGTTAACAGAAAAAAGAAATACCTGGGCACACTTCCTACTGAAGACCAAGCAGCCAAGTTCTATGATAAAGTAGCTATTTAATACTAAGGTCACAAAGCTAAGACTAATTATTCTTACTCTAAAAATCAAATTATTCAAATCCTTAAGATGGGCCCACTACTGTGAATAAATCTCATTTATCGTAATCCATGAATCACTCCTCCATGTATGTCAGTTTATTGTTTATGTAAATATATTCTAAGCTTAATATTCTTAACCTGAATTATTGTTCTTATTAGGTAATCTATCCCTCTTGGGGTTTTGGGGTTTTGGGGTTTTGGGGTTTTGGGGTTTTGGGG